GGGGGTGCAGGGCAGTGGAGAGCCAGAAATGAGGTTACCAGCAGGAGCACCTCCAGGGCAGCCACCGTAGGAGGCAAGGGCTCGAGGGCACCTAGGGGCCCCCACCCCGGATGTGGCATGCAAGTCCCAGCCCACCCATCCAGCTCACACGTGGCTGTGCGGACGCCCCAGGCCAGGGTCCTCAGTCTGCCCCGAGGGACGTCCACATGAGTCCCGTGGACAGGACGGGGCCCCGCCTTCCGGAGCCCGGCTGCGCCCTGAAGAAGCCGACTTCCGGTGTGGACTTTCCAAGAGAAATGCAAGCAGGCGATGACCAGGCCAGGCTGCTGGTGGGATGAAGTGAGCCTCCTGCCTCAGTAAATGGCCCCCCAGCATGATTCTTACGAGCAAACAAAATTTAACGTAATCAATGTTAAGTCCAAAAAAGCCCTGTGAGCACCTGAACCAAAAGCCCAAGACACCAAAGGCTACTCTGGCGCCATCTCCTGGTGACAAGAAGCGTTTGTGGGCTCCTGCCTCGGCCTGCAGGATGCCCCACTGAGCCCCCAGGTCGAGTCCCCCCAGGCCCAGAGCCCCCTCCAGCTCAGAGCCTCCCCCAGCTCAGAGCCCCCTCGGGCTGCATTCTACTCCAGGCCACAGGCCCCCTAGATCCAGAGCACCCCCAGGTGGACCCCCATGGACCAGGCCGCAGCCCCCACGCTTCTGCGGCACCGCGGACCCCCACGGTCACGCTCACAGACCAGGTGCAGCTTCAGGCTCAACCTCTTTCTGGGAACAGACCACTATTTTCTGATCGCTATTAATACCTGTGACAGCACTTAGGTACGAGACAAATTCATTTCAATTTCCGTTTTCAATTAATGGCCTATTATTTGAACCACTCAGCTAAAAATACTGCTCCAATACTATTAATCTTGTAAAAAATTAAATTTTCCTCCCTCTGACAGCCAGAGGCCACAGGCTGGGGCGGGAGGCGGCCGCACAGCCAGTGCAGCCCCCTGCCCAGGACTCTGGGGGTGCAGACTCCCCTCCGCCGGGACGTCCAGAGGCCCCCAGCACACAGCACGCTGAGGCACGGTGCGCCAGGGGCCGCGGGTCAAGCAGGATTTCATCGCAAACCATCAGCATCTTCCTTATGAGCTGGGATGACAGACACGCATGGACCTCTGTGCCAACTCAGGGATGAGCTCCAGCGTCGGGAGCATCAGCGACCATTTCCCACCCGCCAAACATGACCGTCTGGTTACCCACTGGCCATTAACACGCCTCACACGGGACTGTGGCTGCGGGGAGACCCCACACCCCTGCCGGAGGCCGGGGACCCTGGAAGGAAAGCCAGGCCACAGCACTGCGGGGCTGGGAGAACGCCCACCCCCGCAGCAGGCAGCCAAGCCCTCTGGCCCATCCCCCCAAAACCGTGGGGGCATGGGCCACACACGGCCGCGGGGGCTCCCACACCGTGCGGTCCCCCCCTGCAGCAGACACGCTGCCGCCTTGTGCTGGGCCAGTCCCACCCAGCGTTGGGCCGCCCCCGAGCACGGTCTCAAGCTTGAAGCAAGCACCACGCTGTGTCTCCCGCGAACGTGCCATCTCTGTATTTATGACCAAGAGAAGAAAGTGCTGCCAATTTTAACTGAAATGCCATGGATCCTGGATGCAACTGATCTCAGATGCTTTAAATTTGAAAACCTGTGTGCTGAAAAACAGACTAGGTGCAACATTACCGTTCAGTACTCAACGCACCAACCGGACGCCAAGATCCTCTAGGGGTGAGAGTGTGGGCTCCAGCCCCCACGCTTCCTCCTGGGGGGCGTGCAGGCGGGTCCCCCTCCCCAGACACCCTGTGCCAGGCAATCCGCCACATGGCTGTCCCACAGTGTGAAAATCTCTCCCTCTGGTTTTTAAAATTATTCCCAATTTTTGCCATCACGTACTTTTTGAGGACCACCTTATATTCAACTGTCTGCAAGAACGGGAATTTCTTCAAAGAAACTGCTGAGTTACGGGAGTGCCTGCTTCCAGGTGTTTGTTTTCCACTGCAAGCTGCAGAATGACATTCTGAGATGAATCTCGGGGTGGGGGAGACCAAAACGGCGGCTCCTGGGTCCGACGGCCACCGTCATTGTGCCCCTTCTCTTCTTAGCCAAGTAGGCGCTTTTGCGGAAGAGAAACGCAGGTGCCTGAGCAGGGGATGACGGTGACACAGAGCGGACGGTGGAGAACGGGACAGTGAGCATTTCAAGAAAATACGGAAAACTTCCAGAGGCGAGCGTGAGAGAGACACACAGACGGCTGCAGGCACCAGGCCTCTCCAGGAGGACCCCGATCCTCTCAGCAGTACGCCGGCTCGTCTACTGAGGACTTGCTAACCCCCTCACCCCGAGTGGCTACAGGCTGGCCTCTGCCGGGCCCCTGCACAGCCCGGGTGAGCCTCCTGACCTCCATGGCCGTGGCCTCATTCCCCAAACACCGCGGCTCTGACCTGCTGGGTGAGGCTCACTGGACGCGCTAACCTGCTGTGGTACCTGCTTGACTTCACCGGTTTTCTCTCTCCTGTTTTCTTCATCACACATTTCTGCTCTTATTATTTCCTTTCTTCTGCCTGCTTTGGGTTATTTTGCTCTTATTTCTAAAATTTTCCAATGTAAGCATTTAATGCTACAAATTCCCCTCTATGCACCATTTTAGGTGCATCTCGCAAATCCTGAAGGTTCGATTTCTCTTTCATGTCCTCAGACCCATGTTTCAATCTGCTCTGTGAAATTCTCTTAACTCCCGGGATATCTGCAAGTTTGCTGTTTATTTCCAAATGTCTGGGAGGCTTCCAGATACTGTTTCTGTTTACTTCTCATCCACCTACTTTGTGCTCAGAGAACACGTGTGTGGTCTTGGCTTCACGCCAGATGTCCACGTGCACGTGAGCATCCCACGGGGACACGATCTGAGACCCCAAAGCCAGGCTGGCAGTGGCCAGAGCCTGTGCACAGGCAGGGTCCTCGGAAAGGCGGCCCCCAGGATGGCCCGAACCCCCGTGGGGCTGCTCATGGCGAGCCTGCCGAGAGTCTTCTTCCAAGTCTCCTTGACCTTCACTTTGAAAGACGTTTCTGAGGAAACCTAGCAGAAGGTGGCAGCCACCCTGCCTGGTCCCACGGCGGCTGACCATGCCCTGCGGCGTGCGACAAGCCTTTTCTGTGGCTGCTTCTCCGGTCGCTGTCCCACCAGCAGCAGGGGTCACACCGGCGGGCAGCGGTCCTCGGTCCCCCTGTGGCGCCGGTCAGGGACAGGCCGCGTCGAAGCCTCCGCTGCCACTGACCTGTTCCCCTGGCCGCCAGCGGTCTCATCCGCGTGCTCGAGCTCCGACACAGCACACACCCCACCCAGCGACGTCCTCCTGAGGACGCGCCTCCTCATCCCTAGACAGGCCGCCCTCCCCACGACGCTCCCCACTCTGAGGACAACCGCGACGCCCACGCAGACGCTCCCAGTGCCCCGACGTGCGCTGGCAGGGCACGTTCTCCTTTTAAAATACTGAGTCTTCCACCGAAGGGCGGCCGTGCCGACGCGAGGACATCTTCCGTGAGGAGGTGGTGAGCGACGGCCGCCATGGGCTGCGGTGGCTCTCGTGGCAGAGACTGGCGGCTGAGGATGGCGGGGGATGACGAGCGTCACAGCCTGTCTGCAGTGCAGCCGTGAGGATGAGCCTCGGCTGGAAACTCGCGACGGTAACTGGATCCATGCACCCACACGTTTCATCGGACCTTTAAAGATTTCAGCCTTTATTCTTCGGGTATCTGCCCACCTCCGGTCTCCCGTCCTCCCGGGGTTCCAGGTACACGCACCCTGGACGCGCCAGCCCGGGCAGGGACATCCCGTTTTATTCTGAGTAGTTCCCACTGCTGGGCCCCACGTTCGATTATCCCTCCTCTTCCTCTGCAGCGTCTGGCCACTGTCCACCCAACTGGTGCGTTCTTCATTCCAGCTACCGTGCTTCTCGTCTGCACAAGTCCCGACGGAAGCAGAGGTCGGCTCGCAGCGCAGGGAAGTGGGAGGGTCGAGGGTGCTTTCCTGGCAAGGGTGGTGGAGAGCAGGCGGCCAGTGGGCAGAGGCAGGGGGGCAGCGGGCGTGGGGGCTGTGAGCTGAGGCCGCCACGGCTGGCCAGTGAGTGTGCCCGAGGACAATGACCTCTCAGCCACAGAAGACACCACCGAACTGGCAGAGACGCCCCAGACTTAAAGACTGAGAACTGACCTTTCTAAGTGAAGGGCCATCTCCACGTGCTGCGCCTCAGCCCTGCCCGCCCTTGGCGCCCAGGCAGCCCCGACCTGCACAACGGCTGAGCCCTGCTGCACACCGGGCTCCTGGCAACATGACAGACGTCAGGGGAAGGGCTCCGGGAACAGAACACCAAGAAAACCGAGCTAACTGAGCAGCTCTGAGGCTTCCCCAAAGATGGGGACCGTGAGGCCACAGTCCTCTGAGCCAACAACCAGCTACTCCAAACCCATGACACGTGTTCTGCAAGAAGCCTCAGCCCTCGTCACCGGTGCCTCCCACAGCCGCTGCACCCAGCGGGGCCCCCTTTCCAGGTGTCCACTGTCCCCCAGACCAACGACTCTTACAGAGAAAGGGCAGGTCTCTGTGCCGCTTCCTTGCCGGGAAGGCCAGACCACCATGGAGGACTGCTTGGGCTCACAAAGGGACCGGCCTGCACCCTGCGAGCAGGACCAGGCACCAGCAACCGCACAGAGTGGATCCAGGGACAGGTGTAACCCCTCATCTCTGTAAGGAGCCCCCAACTCACCCTCCTCGGCCCACAGGCCACCGCCCCGGGCCCCTTCTTGGCTGCCCCCCTCCCACGGACCCCATCTGTGCCACTGACATTCCAACCTGGGCGTGGCCACGTGTTCTGCCACAGAGAGGGGCCCTCGGCGGCCACTTCGTCAGAGGGCGGCAGCTCCCACAGACGCGCCGCCGACCCCGGGGCACGGAAGCGCACTCACCGTGAAGTGCTCCTGGGATTTGAAGTTCTCGTCCAGGTAGACGCGGGCCCGGTTGTACTCCTTCATCGCGTCACTGGACAGCAGCTCTCTGGAAGGGAAAAGTGAGTTCTTTAGTGCACAAGCCACAGAGGACGCTGCTTCCGAGGCCCAGGCTACGCAACGCCCCCGACCAGCGGTGGGGGCGAGAAACTAAGACCCCCTGTGTGCTCAGGGCAGGCGAGGGCTGCTCGTCATCGGGGAGGGGCTGGGCATCGTGAGCAGGCACAGAGGACACGACGCAAAGGAGGGTCTCTGAACACCCGTGAGAGGGGCTCCCCCAGGCTGTTCGGTCTCCTTTCACGACCAGGAAAAGCTTCAGTGGGCGCCTCTCCATCATCTCAGCAAATGTGGCTGGAAATGTGGCCACTGCCCCCAGAGCCCCGTGGACACACCAGAGCGGCGGCGGGAGGCCTCCCCGCTTACCCGCCGGCCCCACGGCTGAGGGCCCCCCTCCGCCGCTCCTGCCAGCTCGGCGGCAGCGGGGCAGGGGCTCCAGCTCTAAGAGGCAAACCGAAACGCACACGGAAAAGAAGGGAAGAGGGTCAAATGGACCGTCCAGCGCTTCGCCGCCCACAGGAACCAACCTCAGATGCGTCCAGGGCAGGACGCAAGGTTCAGACATGAAACACCACCCTAACGGTCATTACGTCTGGCGCCACGTAAAAATTAACTTGGCGTGCCAAGAAGCAGCAAAATATGACAAAAAAGCGGTCAACAGAGATGGGTCAAGAAGGACAAAAATTAGCTGAAAAGTGTCTGGAAGCAGGTATCGTAAATATGACCAAAGATTTCAAGGAAAACATAAATGTGAGGAAAGGCAAAAACTAAAACCACAAATCAAACATCTCCAGCTGGGTGGACGTAAACACAGGTGAAAACCTAAGGAAACAAACCAGCGAGATCAGTGACTACAGGACACAGAGACAGAAATTACCCAAACTGAAGCAAAGCTAGAGGAACATGAGCGGCAAGCGCCGAGGGGACCTGGCTGATGCCACACAGCCGACCCCAGGAGCCGGGCTCGGAGGACGAGAGAGGGGAAGGAGGAAAATGTTTAAGGAAATAGCAGACAAACTTTTTCCAAATTTGATTAGAATTAGAACCCCACGTAAGACAAACAAGGGAAATCAAACTAAAACATGACAGAACCAAGTTGCTGCAAACCAGCCAGGAAGACAAAATCCCACAGTCAGGGAAAAGACACATTATACACCGGAAATGGAGATGAGGACGACGGCCCAGTCCCCGTCAGAAACCACACGACACAGGCCAGCGCAGTGATGTCCTTTAAGGACGAACACAGAGAGGCCGGCAAGCCCGAGTTCTGTTCACAAGACCTCTTTCAACCTGAAGACAAAGACTTTCTTCAGACAAACCAAAGCTGAGAACTGTCACGGTGACTGCGTGCAGATGAACGCCACAGAAAGGCCTCAGGCTGAAGGAACACAGTACCAGACAGAAACCGCGTCTCCACGACAGAACCGACAGAGAAAGTGGTCGGAACACATGCCGTCTTCTCTCTCACTTTGTCATCTTTTTAAAAGCTAACGCTTCAGAGCAAACCTAGTAATAGCGTGTGTCCCATGTGGTGTGGGTAGAAAAACCTGACAGCAGAGCCAGGACGGCAGGGGACGGCAGAAGCCACATGTCTGCACTTGTGGGGCAGGGACGCGGGGCCGGGGTGGGGACACAGGGCGGGGACGCAGGGACACGGGGACCTGGATGTGGGGCGGGGATGCGGGGGCGGGGTGGGGACACAGGGACGCGGGGACCTGGATGTGGGGCAGGGACGTGGGGGCGGAGTGGGGACACAGGGCAGGGACGCGGGGACGCGGGGACCTGGATGTGGGGCGGGGACGCAGGGGCAGGGTGGGGATACAGGGCGGGGACGAGGGGAAGCGGGGTGGTGACACGGGGCAGGGACACGGGGACGCGGGGACCTGATGTGGGGTAGGGATGAGGGGCTGGGGTGGGGACACAGGGCGGGGACGCGGGGACCTGGATGTGGGGTGGGGACACGGGGGCGGGGTGGGGACACAGGGACGCGGGGACCTGGATGTGGGGCGGGGACGCAGGGGCAGGGTGGGGATACAGGGCGGGGACGAGGGGAAACGGGGTGGTGACACGGGGCAGGGACACGGGGACGCGGGGACCTGATGTGGGGTAGGGATGAAGGGCTGGGGTGGGGACACAGGGCGGGGACGCGGGGACCTGGATGTGGGGTGGGGACACGGGGGCGGGGTGGGGACACAGGGACGCGGGGACCTGGATGTGGGGCAGGGACACGGGGGCGGGGTGGGACACAGGGCAGGGACGTGGGGACGTGGGGACCTGGATGTGGGGCAGGGACGCGGGGGCGGGGTGGGGACACAGGGCGGGGACGAGGGGAAGCGGGGTGGGGACACGGGGCAGGGATGCGGGGAGGCGGAGACCTGGATGTGGGGCAGGGACGTGGGGACGGGGTGGGGACACAGGGCGGGGATGATGGGACGCGGGGCAGGGATCAGGGGATGTGGGGTGGGGACACGGGATGTAGGGTGGGGGCGCGGGGACCTGGATGTAGGATAGGGATGCGGGGGCAGGGTGGGGACACAGGGCGGGGATGAGGGGAAGCGGGGCAGGGACGCGGGGACCTGGATGTGGGGCAGGGACGCTGGGGCGGGGTGGGGACACAGGGCAGGGACGCTGGGACACGGGGCGGGGACACAGAAAACTGGATGTGGGGCGGGGACGCGGGGGGGGCGGGGTGGGGACACAGGGCGGGGATGCTGGGACGCGGGGCGGGGACGCAGAAACCTGGATGTGGGGCGGGGACACGGGGGCGGGGTGGGGACACAGGGCGGGGATGAGGGGAAGCAGGGCGGGGACACGGGGACCTGGATGTGGGGCAGGGACGCGGGGGCGGGGTAGGGACACAGGGCGGGGACGCGGGGACGCGGGGACCTGGATGTGGGCCGGGGATGTGGACACAGGGTGGGGACACGGGGTGGGGACGAGGGGACATGGGGTGGGGATGAGGGGATGTGGGGTAGGGACACGGGACATAGGGTGGGGGCGCGGGGACCTGGATGTGGGGCGGGGACACGGATTCGGGGTGGGGACACACCGTGGCGAAAAGGGGATGCAGGGTGGGGACGAGGGGACGCGGGGCAGGGATGCAGAGACCTGGATGTGGGGCGGGGATGTGGACACAGGGTGGGGACGAGAGGACATGGGGTGGGGACGAGGGGACATGGGGTGGGGATGCAGGGAGGGGATGATTGGACGTGGGGTGGGGATGAGGGAACATGGGGTGGGGATGAGGGGACGTGGGGTGGGGACGCAGGGCGGGGATGATGGGACGCAGGGCGGGGATGAGGGGATGTGGGGTGGGGACACGGGATGTAGGGTGGGGGTGCGGGGACCTGGATGTGGGGCGGGGACACAGATGTGGGGTGGGGACACAGTGTGGGGACAAGGGGACGTGGGGCGGGGATGCAGGGTGGGGACGAGGGGATGCGGGGCGGGGATGCAGAGACCTGGATGTGGGGCGGGGATGTGGACACGGGGGGGGATGAGGGGACGGGGGGTGGGGGCTGGGACGGGACGCAGGGCGGCTTCCCTCCACAGGCCTGCAAGGCTCCCTCCGGGAAATGCCTGGTTCTTTCCACGTGGTCCTTCTCACGGCTTCCGGGGCCCTTTTATGTTCTCAAGCGCTGGCTTTTGTCACTCAGCTGTGTGGCAGGTGTCCTTCCCAGGTGTGGCTAAACATTTACTTCGTGTACAGTGTCTTTTCTTTTGATAATTTTCAGATCATCATTCATCATTTAACAAATTTCTCAATCTTCTTCGTAAGTGACACTTGTTGCACCTTTTAAAGAAATCTCTCCCTGCCCCAGAGCTGCAGACACATCGTCCTTCACTTGGTCTCAGCGTTGTTATGACTGCGTTTGACGTCTACTCAGTGACAGGACTGAGATTCGTGCTCGTGTGTGGGGCCGGGGGGGGGCGTCCATGTCACCTTCTCACGCAGACACCAGCGAAGCCGCTCGCGGCCGGCTGCACACGGCTGGGTGACGCAGGGCGGGGTCCCCCTGCAGCCCATCCCTACCCTGCACCCCTCGCCCTGACCTCACTGCGCCCCAAGGGGCCTGCAGCCCAGGCCAGGGGGACGCCCACCTCGTGCTTTTTAGTATTATTTCGGGCACTTGGGGCTATTTAGCTACATCCCCTTGCTCGCCCACGTTAATCCTAGTATTAGTTTAAGTTTTAAAAAAAGAAAAACATTTTGATAAAATAGCCTTAAAATTACCTTGTTTGGGGAAATTAGCACATTACCCCCAGTTTAACAACTGAAAACATGGACGGCTTGTGTCTACGCACGAAGTCAGGGGCCCCGAGCAGGACTGAGCGAGGTGACAGCAGCTGAAGCCCTCCTCTGGCCACGTGGCGGGCGCCGGGGCTCCGAGCGCAGACCCAGAGGCCCACACGCGGCTCCCTGCGGGCACGGTGGCCTTCAGTGGCCAGCCTCGGCAGTCAGCAAGCGTCCCTCACACTGCTGGCAGGAGTGGTCACGGTGCCCCGAGTCCACGGCTGGGGCGTGGCCAAGGCCACATCCCGGGGACACGGAGGGCAGGCACAGCAGTGCCTGGGGCAGAGAGGAGTCCTGGGCACTCGGGCAGTGGGCAGAAGGCAGGCGGGCGCCAGAGTCGCTCCTGCTACCCACAGCTAGATGGGGACCCCGCTTCCCAGGGCCAGGCCTCAAGCCTGCTCCCAGCCCGGCCCCCGTGGGTCCACCTCCTGGGCCCATGCAGAGGCCTCGGTGCCCCGTCCCAGCAGCACCGGGCGGGCCTCTCCTCCACGGGGCGGCAGGGTGTGCGTGCGGCACTCAGCATACGCCTGTGGCTACTTCCTCCCGATGACAAAGATTTCACTCCCCACAGATGACCGCACTCTGTCCCCATCCCGCGGTGACGGACACAGCTGTGAGCTGCTCCATGTCCACCTGTCCGTCCACCCACAGCAAGGGCAGGATGGCAGCCGTCAGACCGCACAGATGGGACACTCCGCCTGGACCCAGGGCTGAAGTCTCCAGGCCCAAGGCACCACCGTCACCTTGCATGTGCACAACCCCCGGGCTCGCTGTCACCCTGTATCCCCCCCAGGGGCACCGCGTTCTGGGAAGGGTGTGGCGCACACCGCGGGGACTTACTTGACAAACTTGTCCACGTGGGACATGGAGGCCTCGTAGTTCTTCCCTCCAAACTCCTGGCAGTGCAGAGCCATGAAGTGCGGCTTGTGCGTGTGCACGACCTGGGGAGGGAAGCGCAGGACAGGCCGTCAGAGGCTCCGCGGATTGGCGGCTGCCTCCCCAAATGCACCATCGCAGAGGCCGGCCCCACGCCAGTGGTCTGATGTCACCAGCAGCCCAGCCCCCGACACTGCTTCCTGCAGGGCCCCGGCGGCCAGTGAGCCCCCCACGGCCTCAGGGACGTGGGTGGTGCTGTGCGGCCAAGGGAAAGCCGCTGCCTCTAGGACGCAGCCAGGCAGAGCCCGCAGAGGAGCTGGAGGGCTGGGCACGGGGGACGAGGGCGTGGGCGCCAGGGCTGCACGCCGGGCACTGGGGGATGAATGGCCCGCGGCGCGGCCGGGAAGCACAGCACAGTGGTGGCAGCCGGCGTTTTGCGTAGCCCACCGGTTCTCAGCTGGGCCATAAACACACAACCCAGAACTCGGATCTGTTAGAAAAGTGAACAAATTCTGACAGGAGACACATTTAAGCGGAGCGGGAGAAGCCTCCGTGCTTGAGGAAGCTGCTCCCGGCTTGCTCTCGGTTCCTCGAAAATGGGCTTACCGGAGGTTCACTAAGGCAGTTCCCGATCCCCATCACACACAAGCATGAGCACCCCCCGCTGCCACCCCCCTCAGGGCTCAGGCTGGCAGAACGTGCGACCTAGAATGCGGCTGGGGCGGGGGACACGCCCCACGGTGAGCCCTGCCAGAAGGACAGGGAGCCAGGCCCACAACCCCTCGTGTGCGCCAAGCTCAGGAACGCCCAAGCGGCTGGGGTGCCAAGCTGCCCAGCGCCCCTCGGCAGGTGCGCTCAGATAGAGAGTTCACGGCACTCCCACAGGACAGTGCACCTCCCGGAGGAGGAACGGTGGAGATACCAGTTTTGGGAATCACACCCTGGTGGGCACTGGTGTGGGCGCCCCAACGCTTGACAGGCTCTCGGCCCCGAGGCCGCCCTACACAGTGCACTTCTCCTCAGCAGCACAGCCCAACACTCTTCCCAGAGGACCAGCCTGTCCACCAGGGCACGAAGATTCTCCAGACAGACAACTCTGCAGTGACGACGGAGACGCGCTTGCCACACTGTCCGTGGATGCACGACTCCGTGTCTGTCTTGCTGTGCCAGGGTGGCAGAGGGCTGGGTCGGGTTCCAGAACTGCCCACGGATCTTCAGAACACAGACAAGGCCTCAGGGTCGGCCTGGACAAAGGAGCCGCCGTGCCGGCCCTCTGCCCCAACGACATCAGTCGTAGGCCTCGACCCCAGCGACCCAGCAATGTTCTGCCTGGACAGGAGCAGCCTCCGCTTGGCCCCCATCACTCAGAATCCAAAAGAGAAGATGGCTGGAAGTGCCCCTGACACATCCACGCCCTCAGTGGCCACCCGTGGGATGGACTCAAGCAGCAGGTGCTTCAGGGTGTGCAGAGGGAGCGTGGCGAGGGCGTCCATCTGGGCACTGGCCCCCACCAGTCTGCACCTCCGTCTACAGCAGCCCCCCCCTCCCAGGCCGAGCCTCTGTTGCAAGGACATACCACGGGGTCGTGACCTCGGATGGTCTGGGTCTGAAGACCACGGGTTAGCAAAGCCCTTGGCAGAGACTAAAGACTGATGAAAGGACTCTGCTTTCCCTTCGTTCTCCTAAACTGGCAGGGCTCCTCTCCCACGCTCCACAGCCCTCCAGAAGGCCTCGCTCGTCAGCCAGGACGGTGGCTTTGAAAGGTGCCCCGAGATGCAGGGCAGCCCCGTCCCCGGTGTTTGCTAGACGCAGCCCTGCCTGAGCAGGCACAGGTGAGAGCGTGGAGGGTTGCGGTGGCCACCCTCGCTGCTCCTCCCTGGGCCTCTCCCCCTCGGCCCGAGGACGCTCGCTCCGGAGGAAGCTGGGTGAGTGGCAGGTCCTCGAGGACAGGCCCAGGCCAGAAAAGCCACGCGAGCCAGGCCTGAGTCCCCGGCCCAGAAACCGTCCGTCTGTCCGTCCCACAGCAGTTCGTGCTCTCCAGCCTGCCGGATCCTCCTAACCATCCTTCCACTCATGCTGGGCACTCCTCTCCCTCCCCCTGCTGCTCGGGGCAGGGCCTGGCCGCTTGACCTCACTCCCGAGGGACTCCCCTCTCTCCAGAGTGGCCGGGCCACCCCGTGAGGCCCAGACAGCAGCTTGCCCACGCCGTGCACCTCTTCCGGGCAACAGGGCCTCACTGTGGATGAGACGTGTCCAGAGGGCGCTGGTCCTGGCCCCTGCTTCCTCACTGTTGGGTTGGCAGCAGCCCCAAACTCACGAGGGTGCAGGACATTTAGGGGATCGGTGCTGTGAGGTCGGTGACACAAGGCCTTCCAGCGTTTGTCACAGCACCTCCAAGCCTATCCCGACGCACCTCAGCCTGCAGCCATGCGGAGAGCCGCGCCTTCCGTTTCCCCACCTCCTGCCCCTCCCCTTCATTCGGGGTCTCAGACCCAGACCCAGACACCTGGTGATCTGTTCTGGGACCGCACACCTGGCCAACACCGTCTCATGGCGCTACTTGGACAGGACGTGCTGCGGTCCGCTCTGCTCCTCCTGGCCTCCAGTCTCTGAACCCGCCCCACGCACAACCCCGCACCCTGACTGACCTGTACTTCTCGGCAGGAAAGACCTATGTTCAACGTATCTTGGATGGAAAACAATGATTTTCCAAATTAAATTTATCCTACTTGAAACTGAATTTTAACTGATCATAAGTTTAAATAAACAGCCAAAAGTGACTCCCATGATTTTATCTCTGGGACCTCCGCTGGTGGCGACGTGCTCTGAGCAGCGACCCCAGGACACTCTCCGATGACGAGCACAGCTCAGCCCTGACGCCGTGTCTCCCCGCACTGGCACCGCTCCAGGCACAGGCCGTGGAACGATCACCCTGAACTTCATCGGTGGGCACAATCGGTGCGGTGCGGCCCCTCCACGTGGAGAAATACGTATCCGAGCTGTAAACGCACTCTCGTTCAGCCATCCACAAGGGCCCATTCATTTACACCAGGGCAGCCTGGACTCCCTCAAAGCCGCCATGGGTTTCAGATCCACACACTGAGAGGCCACCCGCGGGAGGCACCGGGCTGGCGGGGGCGGGGGCATGCCCGGGGAGCGCTGGCGGAGGGCGGCACCGGGACGCACGGAGCCCCGGACCCCCATAGCCTCCTCTCAGGGCTCACAGAGGCTGCGGGGGCTCCTGCACACAGCAGTGGGGCCCCGCGGGAACCGGGCGCACCTGGGAGCAGAATAGAGGCGGCACCGCGAGGGCGTCCCGCTAGGTGGGAGGACACAGACAACCACTGTGTGGTTTCAAACGTGCGTGCGATCTGAAAACGCCGAACTCCTGAAGCCCAGAGCGGACGGAGGCCGCCAGGAGCTGGGGCGGGAACACCCTGCCTAGGGGCCAAAGGCCGCACGGCCCAGGGACCTGGCGGCCAGCACCCAACAGCATGCCACGTGCCTGGGGACACCTGGGCCAGGCCGAGGCAGGCCTGACATGTGGTCACGAAAGGACGGGCCCCGTGGAGCAGAAAGGGGACAGAAAGGAGGGGAGGCGGCCCTGGGCAGGTGCTGAACAAGGAGAAAGGGAAGGAAGGGGAAACAGGATGGTGGACGGAAGAGAGCCAGGAGAGTACCGTGCTCACTGCAGACAGACTCGCGGGCCCCTAGCAGCCCCGATGGGCCTGCACTTTGCTGGGCGGACAGAAGGGGGTGCTGTCGGGCTGGGAACCCGCACAAGCCTCCTCCCGTGGGCCAGGCGGGAAAGGAGTCTATGGAGACAGGAGGTCCAATCCGCCCCAACCCAGGACCACCAAGCACAACGGACCAGCCACGCTGCAACAGAATTAAATACGCTCAAACCGCCATCTGAGAACAGGAATCAGAAGCACAAAACTCAACCAGAAATGGACCAAAAACAAAAAGAGAAAGAAACAACATTAACCTCAGGAAAGAAATGGAAGAAGACAAAATCCTCATAGAAAAGAAGAGATGACAAAGCACCCAAGGGAGGGCTGACTGACAGGAGAAGCTGCGATGAAGGGGAGAGGAGAGAGGGGATGGGTGGGGCGGGGGGAGAGGGGCCAGGCGGGGGATGGGGAGGGGGGGAGAGGAGCCGGGCAGGACAGCCACCAGTCCCTGCGGGAGGAAACATCAGATCAGAACGAATCTTTAAAATCCTAGTCCAAGGAAACTTCCCCAGAAAGACACCTGAACTTGTGCCTGGAAGGGCCTCCTGAGCCCCTGAGAAGGTTCACCCACACGACCCCCCCAGTACGCAGGCCGGCAGGGGGATCGGACCCCACAGGTGCAGCACACGTCTGCAGGGACAAAGGCCGCGGGGAGAGCCAAGCGGGTCCATGCGCACTGGCCAGAACCAACACGCGAACCAGGCGCCGACGGGACGAGCTCTCTGGGAGCCCCGGTGAGACCAGGCGTGCGCCCGGGACGTGCACACCCAGCAGGCGTGCTTCCAATGCCAGAGGCACCGAGACCCAGTTCTCAACGGGCGAGATCAGGGACTCCACCGGGCGCACGTGCGCAGACGTCTTCTGTGGACGGCCACGTCGATGCTTTCGGCTCTGCGGGCCACACCGTCCACACGGCAAGAGCACCAACATGGACACGCACGAGACACAGAGCACACAGGCGTGCGCGCACACGTGCCCAAGTTCACGCACACACACGCGTGTGTGTATGCGCACACAAGCACGCAGGGACGGTGACACCGTCAGGCACCCTGGTGCAGACGTGAGCCAAGGCCAGGCGGCTGCCGAGCGCACGCGCCCCTGCGAGCCGTCCGAGCGCGGCCGCGGCTGGGCCCCCGCGACTCCTCGGACAGAAGCCACATGGAGTGCGCTGAGGGAAGGAAACCTAGAAAACGCAGACCGATGGACAGCGAGGGGCAGAGAGCAAAGCAGGGGCGCCCCACACAGGGGCCCCCCAGCGGCAGTTGCAGGCTGCCGGGAGCTGCGTGGACACGCGAGCCCCAGGGCGGTCAGAACCTGCCACACCGCCGGCC